TGCCTGTGACATTCTGATAACATTGTTGCAGATTTCTCCACTTTCTGAAAGGGATCAACAGTTTAACATTATTTAATACTTGCAAAGGGAAACACCGCAGTCCACACAACAAGATAGGACAACATAAACAAAAATAACTGAGGAAAGAATCATGATTCCTGGAAACATTGAATTCAGGACTTTATCCAAAAAGACTTGTAATGTTCCCTCCTGGCTTATACTGAGATAACAAATAAACCACAGCAAATGCCAAATTTACTACTGTGTATGGGCTGAGATTTCTTTAAAAAGAAGTACTGCTTATATTGAGTGTATTGTGTGTGGGATCCACAGTAGCTTCAAATGTGATGACAAATTTTACATTACCGTGGCTCAGATCATGTGGCTTCTGTCATGTGTGGCCAAGGCCTTCTAGCTTATGTTTCATGGGTTAAAACCAGGACATTGAACACAAAGAAGTAAAGACCTAATTCCAAAGGTATGTATTTCAGTGCTTATAAATCATCCTTTATTTTCAGTCAGGATAGGGTTGCCAAGTCAAAATATCTTACCAGCGGGGGAGCCTCGCCGGGCTCCGGGAGCCATCCTTCGATGTGCGCACGACGTCAATCACGATGAAGGTGTGGCCCCAACGCGATTGACGTCGTGGGGGGCGGAGTTCCCCCTGGGGCCCGATTCTGCGGCGGCAGAAATCGGGCCTCCGAAGCGGGGGTTTACCCGCCCTCCGCCCCCACTTGGCAGCCCTAAGTCGGGACCTGATGTAAACAGATAGTTCAATAAATGGCAGTACACAAGAACTATGAAGCAGGTACTTTAATAGCTGGATTCCTTTGCATTGCCAGCTGCAGTAGTCAATCACCACCCTGTGGCTCAGCAAGCTCACACCTCCACCTGTTTCCATCACACTGCCAGGGCCACTTTCTCCCTCTGGATCCTTCTCCCAGGTTCTGCCACTCCTTCCTTTGCCATTGGACTCTTTGGTTAAGCCAGGGGGTAGCCCAATGCACATCCACCTGACTCCGGTGTGAAAAATTCCTCCTGGCTCCCTTCGGGGCCAGAAATGGCACCTTCCTGTCTGTAAAGGCCCTAAGACTCTCTGTCTATAGCCCTCTCCCATCCTTCCCTCAGTTCCCTCATTACCTCCTTCAGGTGGGGCCTTTTATCTTCTGGCCACTCCTAGCTCCCATTTCCCTGCTCCTCCTCTAAAGCAAGCCATCCTCTCAAGAAGACCTTTACCCCCAAGAAGTCCTCTGCTCCACAAGGAGCTAATTCTGGTGGGCTTGCCTTCTGATGGTGTCACCCTTGCTGTTGCTGGCTCACCTGGCTCTTTTCTTAGCCCTGCCACTGGGCTGCTGCTCTCCTTAGGGCTCTGCCCATGCTCAGTCCCTTCTCCCCCTGGGGGTAGGGAGCCCTGGGCTGGGACAGATGACTTTTATGTTTTTTTACTTAATGTGGAAGTTCTCCACACAGGGCACATTTGCATGAATTACTCCCCACTTGAAAGCAGAAGTGGTAGCAGTCAGTGAGGTCTTAAGATTTGCTCTCGAAATAAATGCAAAAAATTAAAACCATACTTCATGTTGGACTAAAGGAGGGGAGAGCCATGCACACTTTCCCCACACTATTAAAAAGATGGATTGATGGAGATGATTTGCTTTAATGCCAGAACAACAAGGATTGGAAACAGGAAATGAAGCTCCCTCAGTTATTTATTACATGAAGATTGCTTCATGTTGTTTCGTGTTTCCAATGGTATTGTGCCCATGTACCTTCAGGACTGCTACGCCTACTTTTATCATAAAGTTTTACTCTCCTCTGGTACTTTTCAAGGGGTCTCCAGTGAAATGATTCCCAGAATTATAGCTCTTCCATCAAAGCTGATCTTTTCCTTTGTAATGTGCATCCACAATACAGTGTTAGGCCATGCAGAGTCTTAACAGTCTGGGCTAATGATTTGTTTACAGAATCAGTGTCAGCATTGCAGAGTGTTTATGTCTAATTGGTTGCATTTCTCACTGCGGTCTGCCTGTTACATAAAGCAATCCAGACTACAATGTCTTGGGAGAATTATCACAGTTGCTGATCTCCTGACCTTCAGCTTTGGCATCCAGCCACTCTACCTCTCTGTCTACTGCCTCTTCTACTACACAGCCTCTGCTGGAGTAAGTGACACAGAGCCATGTCAGGGCCCCTTATTGTTCCAGTCCCTGAAATCACTTCAGTGACGTGAAGGCAGACTCTCAAGAACTGCAATTGTGTTTGGACCAAATTCCTTGTGGGATTTTATATCTGGCACAGAATCTAGATACCCAGGAGCCAGTTTTCAATGTTAAGCATATTAGCTTTGGCAGCTGTGGAGCATATCTGAAAATAGTAGTAGCAACCTGGTTTCATTTAGCCATGCAAGCTGCATGGGGCAATCCATGGTTTGCCTTGCCATAGCATTCTACACTGTTACCCAGAGGTGCTGCCTTACTCTAGGGTAGTCCCAACAGCAGGGGCAGTCCACCTCTGACCTGAACCAGGGTCCCCAAAAAGTCAGGCCAAAGAGGACACTCTTGGTTCTGAAACAAGAGTTAGCCACAGCTCTGCAAAAGGGTTTCAATTTCAGGTTGCACAAGGCGGCCATCCAAGACAATCTCCAATCTTCCCCTCCACCCAGCAAGATATGTATACGAAACAATGCCAAGTTCTACCAGATATAGTATCTGCATTTCTAAAAGCTATTCAGTGGCCACCTGGTGAATAGCCCTTCTGCCTCTAGAATTTCACGTAGCCCTTTTGTATGATACCTATGCCTATGTGGACATCCTTTGTCTCCACACCTGTCCTTCCTGCTCCCTCCCTCAGGATACCAAGATAAACCAATCAAACATTCAAATTATGAATTATCCTTCCTGATGTCTATCACAGACCTATTCCCCACCTTTTGTCTAAACCTGGGAACCTATTCAGCCTGCCTTGGCAGGACCATCAGTGGTCACCAAACCCATTCAACCAGCTCCAGTAGAGCCATTCAACACCTGGTTAATCTCATCAATGCTATTGTGAATCCAGACTCTGTCCCTCTGGGACTTCATTGGTCAAACCTAGGTTTTGCTCCTCCTGGTGTCACACCCACTGGGACCCCTTATTGGTCCAGGTAATCTTTTGTCTTCACCTGAGACAAATCCCTCAAGGCCTCCCATTGGTCCACATTGTTTTCCAATGTCTATATCCTCCAAAGCACATGGCCTCAGTTTGGTGTAGTGGTTAAGTGTGCAGACTCTAATCTGGGAGAACCGGGTTTGATTCCTCACTCCTCCACTTGCACCTGCTGGATGACCTTGGGCAAGCCATAGTTCTGGCACAGCTGTTCTTGAAAAAGAGCAGTCTCTGTCAGAGCTCTCTCAGCCCCACCTACCTCACAGGGTGTCTGTTGTGGGGAGGGGAAGGGAAAGGAGTTTGTAAGCCACTCTGAGACTCGTTTGGGTAGTGAAGGGCAGGGTATAAATCCAATCATCTTTTTCTTCTTCTCAGAGTGTAGTCTGCCCCAAGATGCCAACTGGCAGTTCACTCCCAAACTTTGTTTGGGCCATAATTTCTTCTCCGTGGACTTCTGTGCATCTGGAAAGGTAGCTATAATCCCATCAACACTTCACCCTCTTTTGTCTCTGATCTCCTTAAGATCACTTCATTTCTGTATTTCCTAGTTCTGGTGTGTGTGTGTGATATTCCATTATTAGCTGGATGTGTTAGGGTTATTTTCTTAATAAATTTCTTAAAAGACATTTCTTGTCTGTTGTTTGTGCCACTCCAAGAGGGTTCTGACTCTGGTATAGCTGGAGTACAATCCTTAGCTTGCACACCTATTAAGCAAATGGTCTCTTAGCTAATTTCCCCCATCATAATCCGGTGTTGCGGCTAACAACACTTGCCATCACAACCCACATCCAGTCATCCCTTATTGTCTATTAATTATTTATTTATTTTTTAAAAAGCCAGTTTTAGAAGCATCGGTTAAAAGCACCCCACCACAAAGGGCATATTCTAAGGCAAGTTTCACTGTTGCAGAATGATCTAGTAATTCACTTTAATGTTTCTTTGAAGTGATCCAGAGACCTCTTGTGGTAGAATTATATAACAGACGTTAGTTAGCATAATACAGAGCTTTCTGAGATCCTGCAACTGGGGCAGTAGATAGCAAGAAGCTAAGACTCAGCTAAGACTCTGTTCTTAGATCATATAATCCTTAAATTCTTTAAATGTATGACGTCATGCAGGAAGCTGCAGCTGAGATCCTGTGGGCAAAAACCACTGAAGATTTATGGCTCTTGTATAAACCAAGCACTGAGAGCAGAAAAAGATTCCACTGTGGTATAGAAAAGGAATCTGAAAAGACCTGAAGTGACTCATGAAAGCTCATCACCTGCCACATATTTTGTTAGTCTTTAAGGTGCTACTGGACTCTTGCTCTTTTCTACTCCTACAGACAGACTAACATGGCTACCCAGCTTGATCAGCTTTTATAGGGATTTTATGAGTAGCTTTTACTTCCCTTAATGTGTCCCAGTGAAACCCTACTGAAAACAAAAACTAACTCCTTGAATCTTCCATCATGTAACTTGCCCCCTGTTTTGTAACCAGCACCACCTGATTTAATAAAGTCTGTAGCACAACCCATATCCCATCTTAAGTGTCTGCAAGCGGTGGATTTGGGTTCTATCCATTATGCCCTAAAAGGTCTTTTTACTCTCCCATACCCTGTTCCTGTTGATGTACTGAACATCCCACGGGACGAAGAGTCCTGGAGAATTCGAAGTCTCGCGTCTTGCTTTCTGATATTCCATTTGGTCCCAATAATACTGTTGCTTCTGGAATTTTTTTCTGTACAGTGACAGAACTGCCTGTTCTTTTGGCTAGTATAGTGTCTCATGGTGCATTTCAGCAAACTGCTTCCTTCATCTCCCTAACTGAAAAGCACTGTTGATGTCTATGATCTGCACGAATAGCATCTGGGAGAGAGAATGACCGTCATCCACATATTCCTGTGTATGAACCCATGAATGTCATCCTGAGAATTCTGAGTTTCTGATAGTAGTAAAACCCTGCAAGTGTCCATGAAGAGCAAACAACTGGGAGTGGCCGTGCTGGTTGGAAGCTGAATGAAGACACTGCCCTTGTATCACATGACTGAACAGAATTTTCCTGGGTAGGCTTTGGCATACACTTTCTTCTCATTGCCATACACATAGAAGGAGTGGAGCTTCCCTTTCCATTCATATTCCACCTTTGACACAGGCACCACCTCAATGGTTTGTTTCTGAAACAGAAAATAAAAACTCTAGAATGTAATCTGATTCCTGCACCAAAGAACAAGTCTAGGGGAAGGGGTTATGATAGAGGAGGGGTCTCAAATGTGGTGCCCATGTACACTATGGTGCCCACCACGACTTTTCTTGGCACCCACCAAGTGTTTTTAGAAAGTGGGATGGGGCCAGGTGGGATTCTTGCCAAGCAGTGCTTCCGATTTGCCATTGGATTGACAGCTACTGCCATAGTGTTCCGTCTATTCTCTCTCACCTCATTTTCCTAGTATATTTTTAATCACCCCTTTTCTGCCCCGCACATGGGCTTCTTCTGTGATAGTAGTTTTGCCTCCCATGGCAGCCATTTTGTGGTTGGCTCCACCTCCTGTGGTAGCCATTTTGTGGCTGCACCCACCACCCTGAGTCAGAATTACAAAGATGCCCACAGGCTCAAAAGTTTGGGGACCCCTGTGGTAGAGAATGTGCTTTGCATGCAGGATGGTGGACCACGGGTGGACCACTGGTGGACCTCCTGATGGCACCTGGTATTTCTGGCCACTGTGTGACACAGAGTGTTGGACTGGATGGGCCTTTGGCCTGATCCAACATTGGCGTCTCTTATGTTCTTATGGTCTCAAGTTCAGTTCCTGGCATGTTCAGCTAAAAAAAAAAAAGCCCAGGTAGTAAGTGACATGAAAGACCTCTGCCTGAGATCTTGGACAGATATGACCAATCAGAGCAAACCTTGATAGGCCAATGGTCTGGCTTAATATAAGGCAGCTTCATGGGACCAAAATCTAATATGTTATGAACATTTTGCTCCACTAGTCATTCCATTCTTTTTCTTAGGCTGGAATAGTTAGTATATGCCATACCAATTGTCGGAAGGCTTATCTGATTGTCTGCGAGCACCCTGTAGCTCAGTTCTGTGGTCCAATTTAACTTACCAAAGTAGTTGCAGCACACCGATTACACACTGTGGCCTGTCATCACTGTTTGTGCAGTGCCAAGCAGACAGCAGAACTTGCCACGTTATCAAATTCACAGCAGGCTGTCTTGGCTGAACAGTGGGCTACAGTCAGCTGGGTGAATTAACAACAGATCTAGAAAGCTGTGAAGCAGTTATGGGAAGATCTATCCCTATTTTTCGACTGCCTGGCCGGCGATCCATTGCAATTCTTAAGAATACCTGAAGAATGAAGTTGTATTCCCTGACCAACCTAGTGTGCAACTGTAAATGGGTGTAACCTCTACAAACTTTGCATTATTGTTTGTTTTTAACGTTTGAAACACATATTGCATAGAACTAAATCGCAAAAGTGAACCATGTGAAAAACTACTTCCTTTAGATTACAAGTCCATTTTACAGGTCCCCTCCTTTCCCTTTCTCTCCAGTTTTTGTCCTGCTTAAAAAAAGGCAGAGTAAATCTGTTTCTGTTATCCACATATAAATGATAGTTCCAGTAAACTTTGAAAACATTTATTTTATGGAGGGTCTTTCAAATTAAACTCAGATCTTTTAGAGGGGGTCTGTCAGATGACTGCCAACATTTTTATTAGATCATTCTCATGCTCTTTATTTTGTTGTTTACTGCTTTTAATGGTAACATCCCATGGAGCATTTTCTGCTTTTGAGTTCTTACTGTTTTTGTTATATATTTGCTGCCTGTTGTATTCATTTTTTAATTTTATTATTTTAGTTATTGTTTTTTTATTAAAACATTTCCATATTGTTATTAATAGCAACAACCTCTCTTAAGAATAATGTTCCATTGGGGTACCCAACCTTGCCTGTGAGCACCTCTGAAATTCTGACACAAGGTGGTGGACGCAACCACAAAATGGCTACAAGAGGTGGAGCCAACCACAACATTTCAGGGAGTGACGCCATGCATAACTGTAATAGTAACTCTTCAGCATATAAAGTAGCAGCTCTGTTTAACAGGATGCCTTTTAAAATGGACATATTGTTGAAAAATATTTTCTTGCATACACTTGCATTCACATAGTGAAGATCTGTGTGTTGTGGTGGCAGCTTTTGTGAAAGTAAGTTTAGAAGAAATCTGCGTAGCCAATCAGTCGTCCAACGGCCCATCAGAAGCCCTGATGGACAAACCCCCCATCTGGCCCCACCCACTTTCTAAAAATTCTTGGCAGACACTAGCGAAAATGTCAGTGGGTGCCATGGCGACCACAGGGACCATGTAAAGGACCCCTGTTTTACACGGAATGTTCCCCACCCAGTTCTGTATGTGATTTTTGTTCTGCTCACCTGTATTACGATGCGACATTCCGATCCAAATTGCATTCTGTGTTGTTCAATGCATGCCCGTGAACCCTCACTAATAGATGGTTCAGGGAAATTAACAATGGGGTATACCTGGAGAACAAACAAATAGACAGTTTCACATCCTTTTTGTATTATGTTTTCTTATACATTTGAGTGTAATCAAGGTGTATTGAAGTGTGATGGTAACATTGCTTTGTTTTAAGTGACTGATACTGGCTCTTTGGCTTGGAAACGTACATGAGCACTGCCCCCTAGAGTCAAATTTTACTAGCTTTTGAGCAAGGGAAACCTTTACCTTTATACCTTAAATGCACCAAAAGGCTGGAAATTCTAGTGAAAAACAAATAAAATATCTTCAGCAGCCCTGACCTGGATTGCTCAGGCAAGCCCGATCTCATCAGATCTCGGAAGCTAAGCAGGGCCAACCCTGGCAAGTAATTGGAAGGGAGACCTCCAAGGAATACCAGGGCACAGGATGCAGAGGCAGGCTATCAAGCCACCACTCTAAAGAACTGGCCCCATTTAACAGTTTAACAGATTAACACTTCAACTGACTCCCTGCTAATGCCCCATACCCTCTTGGGACTCCCAACTTAAGAATGGAGGAGCCAATGGGACGGGCCACTACAACACCAAGGCAGCTTCCTCAGTAGGCAATAGGAGAGTAGGTGAGTCGTTGCCAGCACGACTTGCCTTTTATATATTATAGATATCTTAAAAATTATAACGAAGAGGACGAAAGGGAAAATATTTTCTGTCCCATACATTATATACTATGTCATTGTCTTTGACAAACTTAATTATGTAGTATAACCCTTTCCCCCCTTTTTTCTGTACCCCCACTGTTATCCTAAAATTTAAAAAATAGATTTTTAACAAATTCCATACCCAGTCTTTCTCCCCAGTGGGGACCCACAGCTGCATTGTTCTCCTGTCCTCCATTTTATCCTCACAACAGCCCTATGACACAGGTCTGTCTGAGAGTGTGTCACCCAGCAGTCTTCCATGGCGGGCTGGGGATCTGAATATTAAAGACACATGATAGGTTCCTTAAAAGCTCTCTTATTCCATGTTTCAGAGTGTCCCCATTCCCTTCATTTTTAGCACTGCAGCTTCCATCATCATACTGGCATTGGTGGCCAGTTTTCAAACATATAGCAGCATTTTCTGAGTTATGCCTGTCACAAACAGAGACCCTTAGCATCACCTCTCCTGGGCCAGGATTTTCACACACCTTTCAGTTTTGACCCTGGAACTCCTACAATCATCCTGAAGCCAGAGATCAATTTTGTGGCTCCTACTTTTATTCTCTGATGAGTTATGCCTGCCAGCGGGATGTAGTGTTTAAAGTGCTGGACTAGGATCTGGGATACCCATGTTCAAATCCCCACTATGCAACAGAATCATAGAATCACTGAAGCATATAGTTGGAAGAGACCTCCAGGGTCATCTAGTCCAACCCCCTGCACAATGCAGGAAATTCACCAATACTCCCCCCACACCCCCAGTAACCTCTGTTCCATGCCCCAAAGATGACAAAAAACAACAACAACAGCCCTCCAGGATCCCTGGCCAAACTGGCCGGGATAAAAACTGCTTCCTGACTCCAGGAAGCTTGCTGGGTGACCTTGACCCCTACCACACTGGGTTTTTGTAAGGATAAAATGGAGGAGAGGATAATTTGGGTTCCCATTAGGGAGAATGGCAGGATATAAATAAAGTAAATAAATAAAAGATAGGCCATTTTTTAATTACTACAGATTCATGGTAACAGCCAGCCAAGTGAGTTCTTTTGTTATGATAGTTGGTATGGAGCAGGGTCGGGGGGGGGGGGTTGAATTTTTGTCCAGTGGCCCATGGTGGCTCTCAACAGCCCTGAGTACTATTGAGCAGAATAACAGTGGCTAGTGGATCATCACTGAAACAACCATTATTTATTATTATCACGGCTATTTTTGGGCAGGAACGCACAGGAACGGAGTTCCGGCTGGCTCCCCAGTTGGCCACGCCCAGCAGGAACTCATTAACATAATAGACCACACCCAACAGCAGAAACTCATTAGGATTGGCTACAGTGGTGTGTGGCCTAACATGCAAAGGAGTTCCTGCTACAAACAAAGCCCTGGTTTTGACAACAAACAAGGTAAACAGAATAAGAAGCAAAAGGTCGGTGTGGCTGGATGTCCATACTTCTGGTAACATGGGGGTGCGGCCTAATAAGCTAATGAGCTGTGCTGTCAGGGGTGTGGCCTAATATGCTAATATGTTTCTGCTGTTGTGTGTGGCCTATTATGCTAACGAGTTCCTGCTGGTCTTTTTCTACAAAAAAAGCCCTGATTATTATTATTATTTCTCAAATTTCTACCCTGACCTTCCAGCCAAGGACAGCTCAGGGCGACTGGAAAAGCTCACTATCTAGATGTCCTTAGCAAGAGAATTAATAAATCCAAATGTATTTTATAATAGTCGTATTCTAACTAACCTCTAAAAGGTATTTAAGCCTGTCATATATTGCTGTAACATTGTAACCTTCTGCATGAATATGGTTTGTATTTACTTATATTTTATTCCTTGTCCTTACTGTCTGCATTTCATATTCCTGTGTTCTTATTATATATTAGGGGTGGAAAGCTTTTGCAATATAAGGCTAAAGTTTTAAAAACTGCTTGTATACACAAGAGGCTGATTTGCCTGCCACACTGCTGAGGATAAAACAAATGCTTCCAAGTGCTGCTGATGGCTGTACAAAAATGGCTAAGTACACCAGACAGCATGTGATTTTTGTTTTGTTTTGTTAATTAGGAAAGGCAATATACAACTTACAGCTATATCATCAGTGATTTTTAACACCCTCCCAGTGTTGTTTTAATGTGTTACCAAAGAGTGCTCATCAGTAAATATTCCTTTCCCAGTCACTTCCTGCAAATGGAAAATTGGAAAGTCTGAATTCTTGTCTACTACATGTTCTGATATGTTGTTCTTCCTGTTGAGAAGAGAGAGACATAAAGCATTGTTGGTTTTCTTGTTATGATACAAATTTAAAGATGAGCAAATCTGATAACTGCTGACTCCATGTCATCCCCCAACTCTGATGGTACTCAAAAGATGTATTAAATCATGGCTCAGATTTTCTCCAATTTCTACTGTTGTAATCTGGATGACTTACACTGCCATCCTAAGCAGAGTTACACTCTTCTGTCTTCACTGGATTTAGACCAGTGTAACTCTGTTTAGGATTGCACTGTTAGTGGAAGCATTTTGTTCAAATTATGGATCCAAATATCAGAGACTGCGAGGCAATTCTGTTTTCTACTCAAATTAGCCATTTACTCAAGACAGTAGGGGTGTGCAAGAAAAACAAAATTCCATTGACTTTGGATTCAGGTACTATTGACCTGAAAATATTCGGGATTCCAGAGTATTCCCGAATACCAGTACATGGCTCCGATCACACCAGCGAGGAACTGCGGGCGGGAAGCGAGGCTGTTTGCCCCAGGATGAACTGATGCGCGTGTCATGACTCAGGTGGGGTGTCACCTGACGCTGCCACCACTCTGGATTTAGGTTCCCTTGAGAAGGCCCAGAGTACCCTCCCAAGACCTTCAGACCTCCCTTTAAGCTGAATAACAGGCATGAGGACCAGGCAGAGCAAAACAAGGGAAAGGTTTATTTTATAGGAGGTCAAACAACAAAGTGCAGAATAATAACAGTAAGTGGGTGAAAAGAAATCAAATGCCCTAACGCGTCTAAATTTACTTTCCCTAGCTCATTATCTCAAGTGGCCTTACACTATTCAGCCTTCCCCCAGGATGAGGGTTTTTCCCCTGCAGCAGCCTTTCTCCTGGCTCTGCCCTCTGGAAGAAAGAACAGCTCTTCCTGCTGCTCCAGAACTTTTATTCCCAGCCCTCCTCTTTTCCTATTGGTCCATTTTGGCTCCAAAACCTCCCAGGGGCTTCTGGGCAGTGTTCCCTCTAAGCTGAGTTAGTGTGAGCTAGCTCACAGTGTTTTAGCCTCCGGCTCACACCTTTTTGTCTTAGCTCAGGAAGGAGGTATCCAAAGCAAACTGATTTATGCAGCAGCCACATCGCTCGCTCACAACTTTAATGCCAGTGGCTCACAAAGTAGAATTTTGGCTCACAAGACTCCACAGCTTAGAGGGAACATTGCTTCTGGGAGTTGTAGGCCCAGCCTCACCTACTGCTAGCCAGGCTCCTTGGGCTTAGTAGGCATCTACTGGCACAGCCCAGATCATGACAGCGTATTTGTGCAATCAGACTTCCGCCCGCCTGCCCCACACTTCCGGATACTACTAGCCTTTCCCTGGTGGCTTTTTGCGACACTCCTGCGGCGCAACAAGACGCCTCGCCAATGACTCAGGGACACTGGACAGATGTGTCCATCTGATCGCATTCCTTTAATCCACAGGGGAATCGCATGTCTGTCGCAGCTTCTGGTACGTATGATCGCAGCCTCAGTATTGTGCTGGTATTCAGGTTAATACTCAAGAAACATGAATATATTTCCTTCCTGGAGTCAGGTCACAGCTGCAGCATGACTCCAGAGAGAAGGGAATGGGTTTAATGTTTAATCCCCTTCCCTTCTCTCTGGAGTGACTCCGCAGCTGTGGCCCACCTCTGGGAAGGGAGGGGTTTAAACTTTAAACCCCTTAAGCCCAAATAATTTCTTGAGACTGAGCTGGCAGGGCCAGCTTCTTCTATGGGGTGGTTTTTAACCCACCCCACAGAAGAAGCCACCCAGGGATCTGTGTGTGCCCAGGAGGGCTCTCCCTCCCCACCACACAGTCCTGGCTAGGAGAGGGGGTGGAAAGGGGTTTAAACTCCTTTCCATCCCCTCCCTGGAGTCGGACCACAGCTGTGGTGCTGCTCAAGAGAGAAGGGAAGGAGTTTAAAGTTTAAACCTCTTCCCTTCTCACTGGAGTCAGGCCTCAATCCCAAATAAAAATCAAATAATATCGGCTTTTATTTAGGCAGAGCTACTACAGTAGCCAAATACAGATTTCGTGTCTGTATTCAGCTGAATAAATATTAAAAAGATACCAATGAGTTATTTTTCATGTATCTATTCAGCTCGGTATATACAAGTGCACACCCCTAGTCCTACGCCACAAGGACTGTCATGGGAAACTGAAATACAGAGGAATCTACTATAAAATATCATGCCAGAATTTTCATTGATCGATTGTACACTGGCTTAGGTATTCCATGAAGAACAATGTTCTTCTATTAATGGGCAAACATGCACAAGATAAAACTCTGTACAAAACTGTACTGGTACTATGGGAGGATATAACTTCAAAAAGTTTAAGGGCTGTGTAAAAACCATACAACCTATTCATTAAAACATTCTTCTTTAAGGGTTTCAACTTACCAAGTTATTGTTAGTTCAGTATGAAACAGTAAGATGCCAGTCCCATTGCAACGATAACACTTCAGCATTCCACTGCTGTGACAGTTGAAACAACTGTGGAGGGGAAAGAGAAAAACTTAAACCCCATGGGTTGGCTCTGTGACTTCCTACTGCTAAGTTGGATCCCATGACTCTCTTCTGCTAAGATGTCCTTCAGAGGAGAAAGACGTCCTTCAATAGGGAATAGCAGTTTCTCATAGAAAAGAAAGGTCTCTTTTTGTCAAAGGAAGTCTTTTTCTTTTGGATGAAGACTTGATGGAAGGGAATTGCTGAATCCAAACCAAAAACATTTATGTAAACTACTGCCTCTTCTTCTCAGTATGTTTTAAATCTTTTTTCATGGCACTAGAATTTTATTTTAAAGTAATGACGTTGGTTAGTTATAATTTATTTGGTAAGATGCAATGATGCAAGATCTTCCATATAATTTCTCAGTCTCTATTCTGTAAAATGGGAATATTGGTATGAATAGCTACTTTTGTAGGGAGTGACTAAGGTAAATAGTGGAGAAGATACTAAATTGCATGCTGGAGGATTCTAAATTGTTACACAGATATCTTAATAAGTGACAGCATTCTTCACAAATTCTCCTTGCTGAAGAAGCCAAGGATTGCAACAAAGTTATTCTGGTTACTATAAAAAGGAAGTACCAGTGCACATAACTTACCCTTTACTCACTTACCTAACCTTTCCTGAACCTCCACAGAACGTGCAAATTTGGAAATCTTCTTGCCAGGAGGATCCACTCCCATTACAAGCAGAACACGTTTTCTACACATGAAGAAAAAAACATCCATTTCATTCTCTGTCTCTGAAAACTTATTCTAAAAACTCAGTCAAGTGGATACAAATGTGTCTGCCAGGACAATACTACAGATCAGGATACTATACTCCAACTGCAGACACTTTAACAACAGCATTATGAGGATAATTTTAGGAAAAGCAGTTTTTCATTTTGCATAAATAAATTAGAGAACTGGAAAGATGAGCAAGTCTTTCTATATGTTGCACGACCATTTATCAAACAAAATGCTGGGGAAGAGGGGGATGCGGCGGGAGAAAGAGAGGCTCTGGTAATCTGTCAGCCGGGTGGTGGTAGCAGCTCCAATGTAAGGGTATTGGGGTGATTGCCAATGTGGGGCATTCATTCATAGTACCCAGAAACCATAAATGCAAATGTTCTATGATACAAAGTGTTCTTCCCCCCTCTAAAAATGTCTCTATGATAAACTGACCTCCAAAAGCAGTATGCTTAGTGCATCAGATTCAAAGAGCTAGGAGATTAGGCGTTAATGCCTCACTGTGAACCACAGTCTGGTCAGAATGAGCCAGTTGTCATTTGGACTTTGGCTTGCCAATTGCCAGTCAGGAGGTGTGTGTGTTGGTCTGAGGGAAACAGAAAAGTTCACTTGGGAAGTGAAGGGACACAACTCCTTGCCCTTACTGTGTACCCTCACATTTAAGGAAAAGTTCAGAAATCCATAGCGTGGGGGCAGAGCTGGAGGGCGTAAGCTGGGATAGGGTGATTAACAAATTAGCCATCTCTCTAGCGTGGCTAATGTTCCGTGTGACCGCAGCCTGTGATGAATTGACCTCCAAAACCAGGATGCTTAGTGCATCAAAAGCAGTGACCTGGGAGATAAGGAGTTAATGCCTCACTGTAAAGCACAGTTTGATTGACTGGTTGCTGCCTGCATGCACCCCCCTTCTCTGACTACAGGAAGGAACTGGTAGAGGAAGCTGATGGGAGGAACAAAGAATTAGAGCCAGCTTGGTGTAGCGGTTAAAAGTGGCAGATTCTACTCTGGAGAACTGGGTTTGATCCTCCAGTCCTCCACATGAAGCCAGCTGGATGACTCAAAGGAAAGGTGTAATCCCACAAGGAAAATATTTAAACACAGGAAGAAAGTACTAACTTCCTGGAAACTCAGATAATTATATGAAAATGTATTAAGATACACTGTTGCTGAAAGTAATCTCCAAAACAAACCTCTCACAGTTATAGCTTCAACCAGGGCTTTTTTTGTAGAAAAAGACCAGCAGGAACTCATTAGCATAATAGACCCCAAGTCTAGTGATCAGCTCAGCTTTATTAGTGATTCAGCAGATACAAGACTAAACTCCAGGGCAACAGCCTTGTTTAAATAGCATGCAAACACCATACCTAACTCCCAAGGATAGGCTATTTACATAACATGAATTCCTCATTGGTCACCTCCAGAGTCCTTGTGAGCTGTTGTTCTAGAGTTCCAAGCTCAGGCAGTCTTTGATAAAACCAGTCCTGGAATGTTCCAGTCCCAATACATAACACGACTCTCCTCCTCCAAATTACTTCTCTATCACAGGGTGGGACATGCAGAGAGTCATAAGTCTATTATTGACAGAAATTCATTAGCATATTAGACCACACCCCTGACAATGCAGCTTATTAGCATATTAGGTCACACCCCATGCCTTCCCTCTGTGGCCAGGCATGCTGTAGGTGTGGGCGTGGCCAACTCTGAAGCCAGCCAGAACACCATTCCTGTGCATTCGTGCCCAAAAATAGCCCTGGCTTCAACTATACTCTGTTGCCTGTTCAAAATATCATAATTTGTATAAACAACAAAATTTACCTCTTCTCATCCCCTGCCCTATTCCTGTGCCTGTTCAATAAAATCTCCGTGTCAAGTGTCATTTCCAAAGGGATTTATAAGAGGGCTCCTGCTTAGCTACAATAAATCTCTGGCCTGGGCAAAAGCCAAATAACTTCTCAATCACAGGGTGGGAGATGCAGAAAGTTATAATTCTATTATCAAAACACTACTAAGAGGCTGCTCAGTGAGAGTGGGGAACAACATTTTGGTGGGAAAACCTGCCTTACAGGAAAGAAGAAGAAGCAGGGGTCCATCATAGTCTCTTCAGGCCTTCTGGTCTGAGCCTGAAGGAGAGGCTGCCCTGAACTACTTTATGGTAACTCTGGAAATTTTAAACTCAGCACCCAAACAATTTAAGTGATTCCCTTTTCTTTTAAAATGACTGTTCACTGAGATCTCTTTCCTGACTTTATGCTGTGACAGATAATTTGTCAAGGTAGCAGAGTGGCTGCTCAGTAACTGTTGAATTTTAACACCAAAGAGCCATGTTTCCTCCATACTTCCTTTATTGCTGATTTATTGGCTCACTTCATCTGGACAGAAGAATACTAATGAAACGGCCAGTTGTTTCATGAGGCAGTTTCATCTCCTGAGATGAGAATGGTTCTTGTAGGAGTTCTTTTCAGTGGCTTGTCTGCAGTGGAGGTGAAACAGTCATATCCATTTGGGGGGGGGGGGGTTGTCATATTTTTCAACCCATTGTTCTTCTTCTCATGTGTGACAGAGCTTTTAAAACCAAATGTCTCATCAAATGAATCTTAAGAACAAGAATAAACTAGCACTGAAAACAGTTAGGGACAATTGTCATAATCCACAGATTATATGGGTGAATTTGCACCATAATTTGTAAGTGGGAGAAAATAGTTCTATTGTAACACCTCACAATTCTCATGTAGTAACATGTTCTTTGGAATTCAGAGCTGCTGCTACTAAAGCTACTGTGAACTCCCTGCTGCTTAAACTATGGACAATATTTGGTAAAATAATTTACTTCAGGTTGTTTCCTTCAGAATTTGACTTGCATTTTTAACTCACCTTACCTTATGGGCAATTAATTATGTCTTCTAATTTCTGTCTAAACTTCAAGTGATTGCATTCACTTCATGAAATGTTGGCCCAATAAAGAATATCACCTACCAGGGGTGGTTTTTTTTTTTTTAATTTGCAATTTCTCAGTCTAAAACCAAACAAAAAATAATGCAAAAGCCTATGTGTCTATACAGACACATACAAAAGCAACCTATCCTGCTCTAACCTGCTTTTAATGATCAAAGGTAAGGTAAAGGTTCCTTTGCTCGAAAGCCAGTCAAATCCAACTCTAGGGTTGCGGTGCTCATCTCTGTTTCAAAGCCGAAGAGCCAGAGCTGTCCAAAGACATTTCCGTGGTCATGTGGCCGTAGGGTTGCCAAATCATAATTACTCACCGGCGGGGGAGCGTTTGCTGGGTCTGGGAGCTGGCTGCGGGTGTGTGTGTGTGCGCGCGCCGCCAGAGTGTCACTGGAAGTGACGCAGGACGTAGGGCACATTGGGGCATGGCCCAGAATGATCTGGGCCACACCCCCAACGTGCCGTACATCCTGTGTCACCTCTGGTGACGCAGCTTCGGGGGGCGGAGTTCCCCCCGGGACCCAATTCCACCGTGGCGGAAATCGGGCCTCCAAAGCAGGGGGAAATCCGCCCCCCGGGGGGATTTGGCAGCTCTATGTGGCTGGCATGACTAAACACCAAGGCGCACGGAACACTGTTACCTTCCCACTGAAGTGGTACCTATTTATCTACTTGCAATTTCTTGCTTTCGAACTGCTAGGTTGGCAGGAGTTAATGATCAAATATGTTTATTAAACACCATATTAAAACTGATAAGAAAAACTGAGCTACTTATTATCAATCCAGCATATTTTAGAGACAATGGCCGGATCATGCTTCATCAGAGAAGGCTTCTACGCTGGTGCATGACTCCCTGACATGGAAGAAGGGACTCATACAGCCCAGTCCATTATGTGCCATGATTTCTGACCAATGGGCATATTTCCAGTTTTGCACTCTCTTGTTAATTTTTGCAGTAATCACATTTTTGATTAGATTTACATGATTACCTTGCCTCTCACCACACACAGTAAACACAACTTTATTATTTGCAGGGAACTATATCCTGTTGACCTTTTCATACTCTCTTGGAGTATGCAACCCCACCTAACACACATCATACTTGGTCCCGCTTAGCCAATACTCCAGTAATGAACTAAAACAGTATTGTACATGTTTTTCTTTTAATTTATCCCGTGCATAAAACCACTGACTCAGAATTGTATAGACATTTTCTTTAAACCTTATAGAAATTGAATATTGGATGTCATGAACATATATCAATTACCTTCTAAATGCATGTTTGGTTTTTATTATATGGGAATGAGATCACTTTGTTGAGCAGTTTATTTTATAGACACAATGGCTGGATCCACTAGAGATTTGTCCAGACAGAAGGGATTTCCCACCTCCTATTTCAAAGCAGTTCCTGGAGGAATGGGGAACAACATGGGGTATATGGTTTTGTTTTGATTGGGGGTGTGTATTTTTACATTTGTGTGTGTGTGTGTGTGTGCATGTGCCCATGCCTGAAAGTCATGGCAACCTCTGGTGACTCCTACTGGGGCATGGAGGATATTCAGAGAGGTGGCTTGATAGCCTGCCTTTGCCTCCCAACCCTGGTGTTCTTTGGAGGTCTCCCATCCAAATACTTGCCAGGGTCAGCCCTGCTTAGCTTCTGATAGCTGACAAGATTGGGCTTGCCTGGGCTATCCAGGTCAGGGCAACATGGGATATTTGGAAGTCTGCAGTGGGATGGGAGAACTGGCAAAATCTGCAGAAATTTTATTGGGAACATTTGGCTATACAATCTCAGAAGAATATACAGTTGACCAGAGAGAAGTACTGCTGGACATGTGATTGCACTGGAGGCTTCATTTGTATTTTTGTATTTATTTTCTTTGCCCAGTGGTTAAACTTTGGAACAATTGGTTTCTGGTCTTTATTCCATATTTTGTATATGTATGATTGGAAGTATTTTTGCATATCAGCCAACATGTTCTGTCTGTATTAGACCTCTGAGGAAGGCCTGTAAAGGCCGAAATGCGTTAGGTCTATCTTATTAGCCCTTGTATGTTTTTATATTTGTATATGAGGTATGAATGGGCCCTTGTTTGTTATTTTAATTTATGTTGAATAAATACATGTATATTTTTGTATGTTTTATAATTAGATTTTTAGAGTTGGCCCTCTTCTATTCTTGACTAACCTTTTTAGGTTCTGAATTCTAGGTTTAGGTTCAGTTTTTTTCCCTTTTTTCTTCTTTGTTCTTAAGCCTTTATGTGCCCATTTTTCACAGATTAAAATTACACATGGAAAGGGACAGAGATACTTGATAAGAATTGGTATTACCTTGCCAGTTCCGATACATGATGGGCATACAGTTGTGCCGCGTCCTTTGCAGTCTGGACAATTCTAAAATCAGAAAAAAAGAGGTCAGCATAACTGAACCATTTGCAAAGCTTCCACAGTGCATATTTTACAAGAAACACAGTCAGACACAGCCATGATGCAAAAGAAAACCATCACAGAAGTTAGCACATGTGAAGGAATACATGGGGTGGGTACTGAGGGCTAAGATATTTTTACCTTGTTCAGTGGGAGCCTGCCCAGTCCATCTATACCCTTCCCCAGTGAACCCTGCTTTTGTCCTTATTTGTTGCTGCCTCGTCTGCTCTTTGCCACAACATCCTCCCCAGCACGAGGGAGTGTGAGCTGCTCAGGCTTTGTTCAGCCTCTCCTCACAGGGCAGATTCTATTGGGGTCAGTGCACCGAACACATGACATTTCATCATCTCCACTGAGGAGCTCACTTTCTTTCTGCAGGCACTTCAGGCATACCCAGCATCCACTAGGCTCTGCTGGCAGTATGTTGCATCCACTGGCCATGTTCTGGCTCTACCAAGCACACAGTAGGTGGCTGTCAGGAAGAACGAACTGGTCCTCCCTTGTGGTGGTAGATGTGCAGGTCAAGTTGTTTGAATGGTATGCAGTACAGCTTAAGTGAACACCCTGGGACATCATTTGGATGGTGCCTTCATTTGGCCTGGGGCCTTGGTGCCTCCACGGACCTGGTACAGGAAGCCCTTGAACCATTATCCTTGACCCATAGACCTAGAGTTGCCAACCTCCAGATTGTGCCTGGAGACCAGTGTTCCCTCTAAGCTGAGTTAATGTGAGCTAGCTCACAGTTTTTTAGCCTCTGGCTCACACATTTTTGTCTTAGCTCAGGAAGGATGGCTCCAGAACAAACTAATTTATGCAACAACCAAACCTCCTGCTCACAACTTTAATGCCAATAGCTCACAAAGTAGAATTTTTGCTCACAGGGCTCCATAGCTTAGAGGGAACTTTGCTGGAGACTTCCCAGGATTACAACTGATCTCCAGGTGATAGGGATCAGTTCACCTGGAGAAAATGGCTGCTTTGGAAGGAGGACTCTATGGCATTATACCCCATTGAAGTTCCTCCCTGTTTTCATCCATTACCTGGATGGCCAAGGCTAGCCTGATCTCATCACATCTTGGAAGCTAAGCAGGGTTGACCCTGCTTAGTATTTAGATGGGAGACAACCAAAGAATTCCAGGCTCACTATACAGAGCCAAGCAATGGCAAACCATCTCAGAATATCTCTTGCCTTGAAAACCTCACGGAGTTGCCATAAATCAAATGCAACTGGATGGCACTTTCCACCACCACCACCGTAATACGTAATCCATCTTTATGTTTTAGGACAGGATATTAGAATGAATTAGCAGTTTCCTTTCACTAGATGAAGGATTATTCTCTAGAGTAAAAAGTCCCTTTGAGTTGTTACATTTCCAGCAGTCCTGTCACATGTACTGGCAAAGCATACTGCATGGAAGTGAACATATGTTCCAGCTCCCAAAAGCACAAATGAATACCATGAAAAAGCAAGGTTTTTGATCTTAGGATGCATTAACAGAAGCATTGAGTCCAGATCAAGGGAGGTGGTAGTTCCGCTCTATTCTGCTATGGTCAGGCCTCACCTGGAGTACTGTGTTCAGTTTTGGGCACCACATTTTAGGAAGGATGTTGACAAGTTTGAGCGTGTCCAGAAGAGGGCAACCAGGATGGTGAGAGGGTTGGAATCCAACTCTTATGAGGAAAGGCTGAAAGAGTTGGGTATGTTTAGCCTGGGAAAGAGAAGGCTTAGAGGGGACACAATTGCAGTCTTCAAGTATTTGAAGGGCTGTCATGTAGAAGATGGAGCAGATCTATTCTCTCTTGCTCCGGATTGCAAGACTAGATCTAATGGGTGGAAATTACAAGGGAGCCGTTACCGGCTAAATATCAGGAGAAACTTCCTAACTGTAAGAGTGGTTGAGCAGTGGAACCGTCTGCCTCAGGAGGTGGTGGATGCTCCTTCGATGGATGTTTTCAAGCGGAGGCTGGATGACCATCTTTCGGGTATGTTGTAGATACGTAGGGCTATCTTTCAGCTATGCTCCTGCAGAGTGCAGGGGGTTGGAGTAGATGACCTTCAAGATCCCTTCCAGCTCTAACATTCTATGATTCTATGATCACATGTACCAAAGCCAGAATATATGCATGTTGCCTGATTCAGGCAAAACGGCAACCTCATCTCTGCATTAGGAGTGCTGGAATGTAATGAACGGAAAGGGTTATAGACTCAAAATGCCTGTCCGTCATTCCCTATTCAGCCACTGATGTGATACACAGCTTTGATTTCTAAGACCTTGTAAGGTACAAAGGTGGAGCACACTATTTTAAACAAAATAAATACATAAACACCTCAGGGGAAATCACTTAAACCTGTGTCTGCATAGGAGTATCAATGCTAAAATGCTGTATACAGAAGGCAGTGTTTTGTGATTCTTACCTCCACTGAATACGTATGTGGTATTGGGATATGCATTTTACAGTCTGTGAACAATGGAGGAGGATCCACCACTACATCCCAAGGGGCAGGAGGGGGCGCAACATCACGGGAGTCTATGAATCTACCTGGAACAAATTTTTTTAAAAAAGATTACTCAAAAGGAAAATTATGCACATTAGGACAAAGAGTAACCATATTCCCAAATCTCCTGGCTTCTACCTTGCTACCACATCCATATGTCTAGCATTCTTCAGTGAGAATCATAGCTGTTCTTGAATCACAGGTGTCTAGTAAATTGCTTTAAATGTAGTTATACTACAGCCAGTGTTCCCTCTGAGCTGAGTTAGTGTGAGCTAGCTCACGGTTTTTTTAGCCTCTGGCTCACACATATTTGTCTTAGCTCGGGAAGGATGGCTCCAGAGCAAACCAATTTATGCAGCAGCCAAATCGCTCACTCACAACTTTCATGCCGGTCACTCACAAAGTAGAATTTTTGCTCACAAGACTCCACAGCTTAGAGGGAGCATTGACTACAGCTGCAAGTCAGTCCTATTTCCCCCCTTCTTATGACTACTGCTAGTACAACAGGCTATTTACAAAAGCATTTAATGCTTCTGCCACAGTTTCAGGGAGAAAGTGTAAACTGCCTGGCTAACTTCAGATACAGAATCACTGAAAACAATTTCTCCCATCCATTCATTGAGTTGCTAAGCTTTCAGTATTGGATATCCTTTACAGATCAGTGGTCACAAAAGTATATTTAAGTAGGAGCTTTACTCTTTAGCTGCTATCATTGAAAGAAGAAAGTATCCCTATATTTCCCATTGAGTAGCAAAACTACAAAAAGATTGAGAATTATCATGGGAAGGCATCAGTGGCCCATGACTTCCTTCGAAGGCAGATAATACATCATTAATTAATTTTCTGTTACAGCGAACCATTTGCTCTCAACCCCCCAGGCTCTGCTCTTTCCTGAAAGGAAGGATGTCCAAAATCTCATGCTTTGAGCACAGAATAAACTAATTTCATTGTACAGGAGCTAAAAGGAAATGAGCTGTACATGAGGAAATGGGACTCCTGCCCACAGCAGTTCAGAAGCTCATATCTGCCACTGGAAACAGAAAGAAAAGACAGTGTTGCTCAATGCTCTCTGAACTGGAAGATGTGTAAGAAACCCATTAGCTCAAAGGAGAGACCGCGGAGCTGCAAAGTGGAATCTCTTCTGCGAAAATCACTCTTGATCGGACTTCCTTCTTTCTCCTGTGTAACTCACCATCATAAAGCTCACTGGCCCGGTGTGTCTGTCGACATTCAGTGAAGGTCTCCAAGCGATACTGAGAACGCACAAGAGCAACTATGTACGTAAACTATAATGGAAGTGGCACTGAAGTGATTTTAATGCAAACAAAACACCCACAAAACATAATTGGCTGCCTCAGGGGGGACAAAGCAGTGTTTCTCTCAATGAGATCGTAACTGGAGCCAAAGTTCAACTGAATACAGGTTTCTAAATTCAGTCTTGGAACACATGAAGCTAAGAAGAAGAACAAAGATTTCTAAGCCTTTGTAAATTGCTTTCGTTTGTTAATAAATCTGTCTAAGGCCACATGGTGGCATCCTCATGGTCACCACAAGGGTGCTGCTGCCATTCTAAAGTCATATTACAATGCTGCGGATTACTCTTGTTCTCTCCTGCACTTTTTCAGGTGCTGAAAGAAAAATAATAAGAAGAGATTGGATTTATACCCCGCCCTTCACTACCAGAAGGAGTCTCAGAGCGGCTTAAAAACTCCTTTCCCTTCCCCACAACAGACACCCTGTGAGGTAGGTGGGGCTGAGAGAGCTCTGACAGAAACTGCTCTTTTTTCAAGAACAGCTGTGCCAGAACTATGGCTTGCCCAAGGTCATCCAGCCAGGTGCAAGTGGAGGAGTGGGGAATCAAACCCGGTTCTCCCAGATTAGGTTAAGACGCTAAACTGCAGGCTGTGGGAGGTCAGTAGTTCAGCAGTTCGAGACCCGAGTTTCCGCATGACAGAGTGAGCTCCCGTCTCTGGTCCCAGCTCCTGCCAACCTAGCAGTTCGAAAGCAAGACATTGCAAGTAGATAAATAGGTACCACTTTGGTGGGAAGGTAACAGCGTTCCGTGCGCCTTGGTGTTTAGTCATGCCAGCCACATGACCACGGAAACATCTTCGGATAGTGCTGGCTCTTCGGCTTTGAAATGGAGATGAGCACCGCAACCCTAGAGTCGGACTCGACTGGCTTTCGAGCAAGGGAACCTTTACCTTTACCTTTACTTAACCACTACACCAAACTGAAACAGCTGTGAGGGGGTGCAGGTGGCTATTTCAGCACTTGAAAAGGTGTGGGAGGGAGGAGAACAAGAGTACTTCAGCTCACCTTACTGTGAGCCTGATCAGGACTGGGCCCTGACTACATTTTAAAATGACTTTAAAATGGAGGCAGCAGTATCCTCGTGGAAGCCATAAGGATGCTGTCATGTCCAGTGTTCCCTCTAAGATGAGTTCGTCTGAGCTAGCTCACAGTATTTTAGCCTCTGGCTCAGACATTTTTGACTTAGGTCAGGAAGGATGGCTCCAGAGGAAACTAATTTCTGCAGTAGCCAAATCACTTGCTCACAGCTTTAATGTCAGTAGCTCACAAAGTTGAATTTTTGCTCACAAAACTCCACAGCTTAGATGGAACATTGGTCATGTCTAGTTTAGACCTAACATAAGATAAATAGGGAACTGTGGACATTTAACAAATTAATTAACCAATTAATAAATTAATCTGTATCTCTTGGTATCTCAGCTGGGAACTGGTTCTCAAGATGGATTACACATAAATGAAAATTCACAATAAAAATCACTTTTGATGATCACTGTCTGGAATAGCAGCAAATATATCAATGAACATAAAAGGACCAATTTCTTAAAATAAACAAATGAGGATATCAAATCAACAAAATGCCAGCTCTTCATCCCAACCCAAAATTTAAATGGTCCAACACCAGGTAAGCACTTAAAAGGGAGGGTGGTCCAAAATGGGTACCACTATCCACGGAGCTCAGTTTATTTGTCACTCCCTGCCTCACTTCTGAAAGAGAAGAGAGATGGAGTGGGGTGTCCAAAGAGATCCTCAGCTGACAGGTAGGTTTGTAATTTGTATTTTGACTGAATCTCTAGAGCAAGACTTGAATACAGTCAAGATGAACTGCAGTGCAAAACTTGATGGAGCTTTTTAAAAAAAAAAGAAAAGAAAAGGTTAATTCATTTTATGCAGCTATAGTACATACTCTATACGTGTTGAGAGGGATAATATTCTGGATTTTCATATGCTTTGCAGGGGTGGACCTATAGAAATGCTTGCTGGATACATATTGCAGAAGAGCTTCTTTAACATCCTGCTCAGAAACGTAGAGGGTACTGGGGAATGAAACAAAGAGATAGGTAGTTTCTAGATAACCTCTTACTCTTCATTTTTTTACATCAGTGCAAGACAGCATATAATGTAACAAACATTACATATTTCCTTACAAGAAACTCTCATGCAGTGTGGCACATATAAAGATCTGGTTCACTTTCTTAAGTTTAACTGACTCCAGGTTTCAGAAGGCAGGGATACACTACCAGTACCCAAATTCCTCCCCTAAACACACCAGGGATCACCCTGCTCTTTGAGCTATCTCCCTTTCCAACTGGGTAAAGAATCACTTCTCTAACTAGAAGATTTATCCCTTTTTTTGGCCTGAATGGGGGTCTTCAGCAATCCTCCCACTCCTCCTTGCCAACCTTCCCAGTTCCACAGCTGGACCTGAGACCTAGGTTTCCCGTCTCATTACCAATGCTGATTTTTGCATGCTTACTACACCTCTGCATATCACACCTAATCCAATCATGCCTGCTATTGTTATTTGCCTGCTAATGTCATTTGTCATCTGAAATCAGTCCATTTCCCCATAAGTAGGACAGATGGACTCACATTCTAGCTGTATCTGAATAAGTGAGCAATGATTCATGAAAGCTCATACTCTGCTACAAATTTTGTTAGTCTTTTGTTAGTCTTTAAGGTACTACTGGACTCTATTTGCCGATGTTCCAGCTGAGATACTTCTCACGAGAAGGAAGTTTCAAGACATAACAAAGAAACTGAGAGAACATGGGAGTAAATATAGATGGCTCGCATTGGGCCATCTAGTGGTCAATCTTAATGGCAAGATATCTACAGCACACGACGAGTATTCTGGAAAGAAACTACTGGAAGTGATGATTAAACAATCAGATGGAGGTGTTTGAAAGGAGAGAGTTTATTTATGCTATCAGTATAACAGATTTTTTGAGAGCAATTAAATGAGAATGATGGGAATTTAGAATTATATGCTAAGCAGCAACTATCTATTAATAGTAAACAAAGTGGTAACTAACATAAAAGTATATCTGTTATAATTAGAGGGCATGGTAAGGAGGTGGAGGGTGTGCTTCCCTCAAGACCTCTGGTAGTAGGTAGGAGGGCTACCTTCGTGCTGAAGGGGTTTCCTCTTCAGCCCTCAGTATCAGAGGCAACCCCATCCAGCTTTCTTTTTTAGGTATAGAAGAATATAGAATTATAGCGATTGAACGTATAAAACAAAAATTAGAAGATTGAATGGGTAACAAATTATGAAGAATTAAAGGAAGATGTATTAATGATTAGAACATGATTTAGAGGAATTTGCATGGTGGTTTTATACGTGGGTAGGTTATGGGAATAAGAAAAAGAAGAGGATACAAACTGGATTTGGATTAAGTTTAATTTGTTGGTCATACAGAGGGAATGTAACCTCTTTTTTGTTAGATTATGAAATAGAGTACAAATATATATATTGTATGAAATAGTTCTATGAAATGTATACTCAATAAAAATATGATTTTTTTAAAAAAAAAGTTACTACTGGACTCTTGCTCAGTCCTCAGTGTTAAACTCTCCTCAGGGCTAAACTAAACTGTTCCAGTTCTCAGTCAGAGCTAAACTGAGTCCTCCTCAGCAGTTACTTCCCAAATCTTTCTGCTCAATGACACTAACTAATCAAATCCCTTTGAGCAGCCTCTCACTCAAGGCTGTCTGTCTCTGTGAGGCATTAACCCTTCACAGTCCTTCACATGTTTACACAGCACTTAGGAGGTTTTAGAGCACAGTACATCATACCTTACAACATCAATCCTCCATTTTATCCTCACAACAATAACCTGTGAGGCAGGGTAGGCTGACAGCAATTGAGTAGCCCACGGCTACCCAGTAGGTTCAATAGCAGAGTTGTATCCACCCAGTTGTATCCACCCAGTTGTATCATGCTGTATGCTTTCTCTTACAAGCAAGGTGGATTCCCTATGGGAAATTTGTAATGTTTGGAGCAATTCTAAAAAGTGGGAAGAATTAACGTCTACTACAGGGTTTTTCCAGGAGTTTTTAAAAACAGGTAATGAATTCCCAGCTTTTATATTTAAAAAAATGTCTAGTCCCTTTTGTTGTGGAAATATAACAGGAAAGGCATTGCAGCAAAGCAGGGTTTGGGGAAACATCTGAAAGTACATGGCATAGGGGAAAAAACACTATTCAGTGTCATCCAAGCCGGACCAAGCAACCCATATGCAAGTTTCCAAGATTCCACTCTGTGGTTTTAAATATTGGTAAAAGTTCATCCTATCAGCACAAATAAAAATGGCAGCAGTTAAGAGAAGTCTTACTTCAGGTCTCTCTGGTGTGGACCAAATTCTTCATGTTCCTTATGGGGCAACTGTTCAGCTTGACCAGATTTGCCTCCTGAAATAGTATGGATGAAACATAACACGATAGCTACATTTATAACTTTTTGTTTTACTGCTTATTTAGAGACAGATGAGCTGAAGGCATTGTTTAGTGATCAGTAATGAACAATCTGAAGGTCCGATCTGTTACAGGAATATCTGGTTTCCTCTTTTCCCTCTTTTCTTGAGCATCCAGCTTGTAGAAGAGATGCATATGACTCAAAAGTTTGCATCCTGAACCGCACTAAAGGTAGTTGTGACATTTTCTTCACTGAAATTTGGTCTGTTTTTCTGCCTCTTAATTCCCACAAGCAATGCCACCAGGATCACACTGGACTCACATTAAATCCCCATTTGGCCATTGACTTCAAAGGACTTAGAAGGGTGTAACTTTGTTTAGGATAGCACTGTCAGAGATTGAGAGTATACCTACCAGTATCATTCATTCTTTTGTTTTCATCTGTAGAGCTATTGCCAATTAGCTCAAAAGGGGGTGCAGAGGCTCCTTCATAGGCAGAACATGGGCCAGATGCACCTATAACACAGAAAGTCTAAGTGTTGAAGAAGGAAACAATTCACAAACTCCAAGAACTGCTCTTCCCCTGTTCATGTGACAGATACAGCAGGACAATCCGCCACCTAGTTCTCAATAAATATGTCTTATACAAGCACGTGATTCTTATAACTTTAACCTTGCTAGCACTATGAATCATACAGAGATAAAACATGGCCCAGAGGACAAAGTATTAGATGTTGGGTGGGGAGATAAGTGGTTGGATACCATGGCTACAAGGAAATCACTTCCTTTCATCTACATGCTTAAGATTAAAAAAAAGGAAGAAACATTGTTACTTAAAATCACAAGGTGGTGGCAGCTGAAAGAGATTAGGGAACTACTTTCCAATTTCAAAGTTCAGAAGTGTTATTGTAATAATAAATGTTAAAAGGTCAGATTACATAGAATCTGTCCAATTACAGGTGTTTTGTAATTCACCACTCAACATGGGTACTGTAAGGGAAGATCTTGTCTCACTAACCTGTTAATGTTCTTTGAGGGGGTGAACAAACATGTGGACAAGGGGGATCCAATAGATATTGTTTACCTTGACTTCCAGAAAGCTTTTGATAAAGTTCCTCATCAAAGGCTCCTAAGTAAGCTCAAAAATCATGGGATAAAAGGACAAGTCCTTTTATGGATCAAAAACTGGCTAGTTCATAGAAAACAGAGAGTGAGTGTAGGTGGGCAATTTTCTCAGTGGAGGGTGGTAAGCAGTGGGGTACCGCAGGGATCAGTACTTGGTCCACTGCTTTTTAACTTGTTCATTAATGATTTGGAGATGGGAGTAAGCAGTGAAGTGGCTAAATTTGCGGATGATACAAAGTTGTTCAGGGTGGTGAAAACCAGTGAGGATTGTGAGGCACTCCAAGGGGATCTGTCAAGGATGGGCGAGTGGGCGTCAACATGGCAAATGGGGTTCAATGTGGCCAAGTGCAAGGTGATGCACATTGGAGCCAAAAATCCTAACTATAAATACACGTTGATGGGGTCTGAACTGGCAGAGACTGATCAAGAGAGAGATCTTGGAGTTGTAGTGGATAACTCACTGAAAATGTCGAGACAGTGTGTGACTGCAATAAAGAAGGCCAATGCTATGCTGGGGATTATTAGGAAGGGTATTGAAAACAGATCAGCCAATATAATAATGCCCCTATATAAATCAATGGTGAGACCTCATTTGGAATACTGTGTGCAGTTCTGGGCACCACACCTTAAAAAGGATATTATAGCTTTGGGAAAAGTGCAGAAAAGGGCAACTCGAATGATAAAGGGGTTGGAACACTTTCCCTATGAGGAACGGTTAAGGCGCTTAGGGCTCTTTAGCTTGGAGAAACGACGACTGAGGGGTGACATGATTGAGGTTTATAAGATTATGCATGGGAAAGAGCAGGTAGAGAAAGAGGTACTTTTCTCCCTTTCTCACAATACAAGAACTCGTGGGCACTCCATGAAATTGCTGAGCGGTCGGGTTATAACGGATTAAAGGAAGTACTTCTTCACCCAAAGAGTGATTAACACTTGGAATTCACTGCCACAGGAAGTGGCGGCGGCTACAAGCATGGACGGCTTCAAAAGGGAATTAGATAAGCATATGGAGCAGAGGTCCATCAGTGGCTATTAGCCACAAGGTATAGATAGGGACTCTGAGGCAAGTGATGCTCTGTCATCTTGGTGCTTGGGGGGGGTCAACAGTGGAATGGCTTCTAATGTCCTGGCCCCACTGGTGGACCTCCTGATGGCACTGGTATTTCTGGCCACTGTGTGGCACAGAGTGTTGGACTGGATGGGCCTTTGGCCTGATCCAACATTGGCATCTCTTATGTTCTTATGTTCATAAATGAGAAAGTCAGACAAAGTGTCCTGGACTGATTCTGTCCAAGAAAGTTACTATGAACTATTTTAAAAAAATTCTTTCCTGAGTGATGCCTCTGGAAGGATCAAGATATGGAACAGGCTAAAAAAACCAATTTAACTCATTCACCTGGATTTCAAGGTTTAATTCAAACCAGGGCTCACCATGGAATCTTTCTAAAAATGAAAAAGCTGAGCCCTGGTCTATGGTGATAGTGATGGAAAGTGCCTTCACATCGCAGCTGATTTATGGAGTCTCCATGGGGTTTTCAAGGCAAGAAAATGAGGTTGTTTGCCATTGCCTGCCTCTGCATAGCAACCCTAGACTTCTTTGGTGGTTTCCCATCGAAATACTAACCAGAGCCTACCCTGCTTTGCTTCCAAGATCTGACAAGATAAGGCTAGCCTGGGCTATACAGGCTGGTGTATACCAAGTTAAAATAAACAAAGACATGCATTTGCTGACTACCTTTTACTCACTGCTGAGCAAAAAAAGTAGGGCATGTGGATTTCAGACTTCCTGGCTAGGCCTTCTCTGCTGGCTTAATTGGCAGTTTCTTCCTCTTCATCAGAGTTCAACAACATGACACAAAGCTCTCCCATGCCAAACAAAAAGTCAGCACTGTCAGCTGAAGACACATGTTTAAAATAAGCAGGATTCCACTCTACACTATAATGAAGTGGGGAATCATGGCATAGCAATAGAGCACACATGCAAAAAGTCCCAGATTCAGTCCCTAGAATCTCCAGCTAAATAGAATATATAGTAGATGATGTGAAAGCCCTCTGCCTGAGACCCTGGAGACCCTGCCATTCAAAGTAGACTATATTTACCTGTGCTGGACCAAAGGTCTTAGTTAGAGTACAGTATAAATACAAGGTCATGTGCTGAACTGGAATCAGAATCCCCTGTTTCTTAAGAACATTCATTTGTGAAGCTCAGAGAGAATGGTGTGTGTGTGGAAAGGAAGCCTTAGAATTAAAAGGGCTGTGTTTTCTAAATGCATGCAGTGGAACATTATTCTGTCTTAATTACAGCACATCACATTCTGTCATATGCCAATTAGCCAGCAGATAAAGCCATTTAAAAAAAACAAAAAAACTTTACCCTGGTTGTTGCTGATGACCAACAAGAATGTCAGCAGCTATTTTTGAATTTTTATTCCAAATGGAGGATTTATTTTTCATCTGTTCTGCATCTCTCAGACCATTTGACAACCAGGCTTTCGAACTTTCCTGGCACACTAGCTGCCACTACTGAACTTAGCTCTAAACATGAACAAAGTAAAGAAGCGGTTTATTCTTATGCTCTCGTTTTACATACCTGGCATGCTCATTGGGTCACAACTGTCTCTGAATACTTTCCGTTGCATATGGATGAATTCAAAACTATTCTCACTTCCAGAGCAGTCCAGATAACATCAGTAGGTTTGTTGTTACTACAGCCCAACTGATTGTCACTGAGTCAGAGTATGTGTAAATATTTGAGCCTAACTCTGCCTCCCATTAGGTGCTTGGGTACAGGAAGGTATGAGAGGATCTTTCTGAACAGGAACCAAGTATGTGGAATTTCACAATTCATGCTGTAATTGTAGTGGAGGATGTCTTTGAGCAAGAGGAAGGCATTCGGTGCTTTAGGCAGAACTTTGTGGTGTTCACATGCTGTGGGTATGACAGACCCCTGTATCTCCCCAACTGTCTGGCAGATTTTTCCCACCAAATCTTCAGTTCCCCTCAGTGACTGAGTTGCCCTACAGTAGCATGTATATTCTCTACTGATATAAACTTGAAACTGTCCCAACCTTTGTCTATATACTGGTTTAGGCTTTAGACCCAGTATAGGAACTTGAGGGAAAGACAGGAGCTGTCCTTTTTTATAAACCCTTGTGAGATGGCACTTGAAGCAAATTGATTTTCAAAAAACAGAATAAAGATTTTATTAAATGGGCAGGGAATATATGTATAACAGGAATAGTCAAGGTTTTGAGATTGCTGCAGTAAAAAAAACCTTTCTAATATATACTGAATTCTTAGAACATTTAAGAGAGTGTATTTGTAGTTTTGTTTCAGGGTTTTCTAGTTCTTTCTTTGAGAGGTACCTTGTTTAGTATATTTCAGCACTAACACTTCTTAATAATGTTTCTTCTGGAGAACACTATTTCCTTACAGTTTATAGATTTCTTCCTTTAGAGTAGATTTATTCCTTCAGATATTACAGGTTTTCCCTAACGCCTGAGGTGTCTTAGCTTCTCCCCTTTATCACAGACCAGGGTTCTCTTCCCAAGCCCTTTCACTGGCAGGAAGTTATTCTCCTTGTCCCTAAGAAGTAATAACTCCTTTTTGACTTGTATGGGAGTTCTCTCTAACTACCCAGACCTTCTGCCAAATCCTTCTCCAGTATTCTTGGTCTGCATAAGGCTGTTCTGTAGCTTTCCTGACTGAGAATCTAAGTTCTCCCTCAGAGCAGTTTTAATATATTTAAGACAATGGCATTTCTCTTCTCTCTGTAGAAGTACTTTTCTGACTATTGCCTGTCAGAAAACACTGATTCCCAAATGTCTCTTCCCTCAAGAGCCAAACCCTCAAGCTACTGATCCAAAAATTGCAAAATACCTCTTTTCCCTCCAGATCAGCTGTTTTATTTCCTCTCTCAGCTGATGCTGGCCAATCAGAGAGCTAGTAGAGCAGCCAATCACATAAGCTCTTCTCTTCAGAGAAGATTAACTCATGAAATCCCTGACTGTCTGACACCAGCAGCATTTTAAAAAGCCTACTTTTCTGTGCAATCCATCATAGTGGGTTTTATTGCTGAAGCACAAATCTGAAACTGGGAGGCCAAGAGTTTTTTTCCCAGCAAGTCAGTAAAAGCAGACATTTTGAGTCCCACAGATTTCAGTTTGAAGGAATCAGGATTATTTTGGAATGTAAAAGTCAAAATGTCCTTACATTCAGTTGGAGTTTTACAAGTATCCATCATAGCATTACAATAAACGAGTAAATCCAATACACTCATCACAGTAGCAGAATAGTGAACAAAATGAATGCATTTTTTCCTTAGAAAAAAGAACATATGGCACATATTTTGAAAAAGGCATTTTCTTTTCTAATAAGATTTTCAGTCAGAAATAAGCCCTGAAGTTACTGTGATTGGCTAGGGTTTCTTTTTCTAATTGTTAGTATTTGATAGCTGGGACAAACTTAGGTAACTGAAATCAAACAAGTACAAAGAGTCATTGTCAGTTATTCCTTAAAAGGAAAACAATATAATCTAAAGCAGGGTTACAGCCTCCTAAGGTCATTGAGTTGGATCCAGCTAATTCTCCCATTCATTCTCACCCAATTCCCACTTCATGGAAGCACGTGTTCCAGCTGATTTGAATCCATGCAGGTCCCATGATATCCAGAACAGCTTTCTTGGTTTGATTCAAGTCCAGTAGCACCTCAGAGAGTCAAATCTCCCTTTTTTGGTCGAAGGGAGCTTTAGTTCTTGAAAGGCTTATATCCCTAAAATCTTGTTTGTCTCTAAGGTGCTACTGGACTCGAATCTACCTGTTCTACTGCAGACCAACACAGCCTCTGAAACTAGTTTTCTTGGTGGACAGTGGTGACCCCCGTCTTCCCTTATTCAACAGCAGAAAATCTGGCTGAATCCAAACTGATTACTTCAAAGGACTAAGAAGGGTGCAAGCGTGCTTAGGATTGCACTACAGGATTTCCCACCCTCTTGTTGAAGTTAATGTGTACTCGCAAAATGATAATTATTTTGTCTCCTCTCTCTCCCCTATCTCCCACCTTCCTTCTGTCCTCATCTGTACTGGGGAGCAGCAAACCAACTGGCTGAGCAACCAGGAGACTGTGAATTCTCTAGCCATCTGGCTATCCTGGCTTGAAGAAAACTTTCAGATTTTATCATAATCTAGTGCTGGCTGACTCAGTCATACCTGCTGCAATCCTCGCAGAGAGGAGGTGGTCACTTCCATCGCTTGCACAGCTTTTGTCTCTGTCAGGAAGAATGCAAACAAAGAGTGTCATGGACCATCTTCTGAAAGAAGATTTGGGTATTCATGATTCACTGTGCCAGTGGAACACCTTTTAAGGGGCAGGGACAGTCTCTGAGGTAAAAAGGTTGGTCATTTAAATGTTATGGGGATCTTCCTGTCCTGAAGCTGTCTGAGTTGTACTTCTTGAATGTGCAGATAAGGAGTGTTGGCTTTTTCCGAAGTTTAAAAAAAATGTGTTTCACAGTGTACAGCTGCATATTTCTGGAATCCTGTGTTGACAAACTGGGTGGAAATGTACATGTGGTGGAGAAGGAGGGGAATGGTATTTTACCTGTTTGCCTTGTCCTTGACCTCCATCGACTGCAAACTGTACAGGGCCTATGTTGTACGACCAAGACACATGTTCTGAATGCATGATCTGTACCATGCAGTCCTGAGGGTACAAATAATGATGTAATGGCCCTTTTGCACTGGGGTAAATGTATGCATGCTTTCTACCTCAATGGATCAGTATGCATTACAATGAGGTTTAGTTACAGACAAGGATCAAAAACAAACTTAGAACTGAAATGTGAAATATTTTGTCAAGAATGTCCTAACTGGAAAGGTAGCATCCTGAACCATGTTCATGGGGGACTGTAATCCTCAAATGTGGCACAGACCACACCTCTTAATTCAGATACATGATAAAGGGACAAACTGCAATACCTGCACAACTCTCTATAAGTAGCTTGAATGAAAACCATGGGAGTCATTGTGGCATTCTAATAAGTTGGAGATTTGAGGGGTGGAGCCTGGGAGGGCAGGGTTTGGGGAGGGGAGGGATTTCAGTGGGGTATTACGCCTTACAGTCCACCATCCAATCCAGCCATTTTCTCCTGGGGAACTGATCTCTGTAACCTGAGGACCAGTTGTAATCAATGTTCCCTCTAAGCTATGGAGTCTTGTGAGCAGAAATTCTACTTGGGGAGCTACTGGTGTTAAAGTTGTGAGTGAGTGATTTGGCTACTGCATAAATTAGTTTGCTCTGGAGCCATCCTCCCTGAGCTAAGACAAAAATGTGTGAGCTGGAGGCTAAAAAACTGTGAGCTAGCTCACACTAACTCAGCTTAGAGGGAACAATGGTTGTAATTCCAGGAGATCACTAGCCACCACCTGGAGACTGGCAACCAGTGTTCCCTCTAAGCTGAGTTAGTGTGAGCTAGCTCACGGTTTTTTAGCCTCTGGCTCACACATTTTTGTCTTTGCTCAGGAAGGAGGGCTCCAGAGCAAACTAATTGATGCAGCAGCCACATCGCTCGCTCACAACTTTAATGCCAGGAGCTCACAAAGCAGAATTTTTGCTCACAAGACTCCACGACTTAGAGGGAAGATTGCTGGCAACCCTAAAAATGTATCATCCTAGACATGATGAGCAGTCAGCTCAGGCCTCTAGGATATGCCTTCATCTTTTTGTGGATGTTTTATAATCTGAGCTCTGTTGAGTAACTAACAGAGAAAGAATACAAATGTTCTTTATTTATTTACTTCATTTATACCATGCCTTTCACCCCATTGGGGACGCTTGAGATGTTCCCTTTTGCTTGCAAATTGGGAACTGGATACTCACTAAGGTTCCTGCTGTCAGGTTCACATAGGAGATACAGCTGCATTCAAAACAATATCCATTTATTAGCAAGAAGATGCAGGGATGGACACAACTGGTCTCAGACAGGCTAGCTCAAGCAGTCTATAATTTTTTAAACCAAGGAACAGAACTAACAAGCAGAGGCTTCACCCCATGAGAACTAAACCTACACCCACAAGTATTGGTGGGGGAGACTGTTCCATTATAATGTATGCAATAATAATGGCTTAAATCATTCTCTTAAAGATCCTGGTCTGACATTCTAGTCTAGACTTCGCCACACTGGCTCTCTGGTAAAAACGGACAAATGTAGGGACAAGGATCTCTTGGTTATATGCTTTTACTGTATATTTATAATATACATTATAGTAAAAGTTTATGATCTGCTGACTTGGCTGACCTGAGTTTGACCCCAATCAGGAAGAGTTGTCTTGCCTGTTAGAAGATCATCCACAGAAAGCATTGCTTAGGAAGTATATTTCTTATTTGTTGTTTAACTGTATTTAGAGAAGCTCACCATGGAAAATGGAGACTTGGTTGTAAAATGTCATGCCTTTCCTGAGCCTCACTCCCTTGTGATTGTATACAAGGTAGAAATGTCACCACAAAGGATTATATCTAAAGGAACCAGGAATGATCTACAAATTGCATAAGCCTTCATAGAGCCTTCTAAAAAAAAGATTCTTATTCCCATTTTGTTTTTTTTGTTTTTTTAAATTTTTATTACATTTTCACTACATACTACAAAGGGCATGGAACGTGGAAAAGTTAACTATAAAATACAGATAAACAGGGATCTAATATGATAAAGAATTACTTTTTCCAAAATTTCCCTTAGCTTTAACATTCTACATGATGAAGAGTGAGATTAGCTGATTCAGATATATTCCAGTACAAACAATATTAGCCAATAAAGTGTATTCTGGTATTTTAAGCTAAATATTATTAAACTTTCAGGGTTCATTCATTTTTAGTTTTTTTTTCCCTTTAGGCTTATCTTTATCATAGTTCCATCTGACTTTAAGAAGTTTGGGGGCAGCTTCAGATTCAGAATCTTCTCCTGAGGAGCTGCCCGCTGTAGAGCTGTTTCCTGACCCAGTTCTGCTGTACTCTTCTTCTGCATTGTTGTCCTCCACTTTTCCATCTTTCTCTGTTTTTTGATGCTGTTCCAAAAAATGCTTTAGCTTTTATAACAGAATCTATTTTTTCTCTTTGAAGTTGAAGATAAGACCCTCTGGCAAAATCCACCTGTAGGGAGTGGAATTTTTCTGTAGATATGTTGTCAGTTTTTTGTATTGTTGTCTCGTCTTTCTTATCTCAAATGGAATGTCTTTTAAAATTCTAATTTCTTCACCTTTGATTTTTAGAGTAATCCTGTTAGTCGCTTTGAGTATAGCATCTCTAATAGACATTTTGGAGAATTTCACAAATATTTCACCAGGTACCTTATTTTTCTTGATGTGGTCTGGATAAGTCCAGTAGACTACATCCATTTCGTTTTGTATAAGTTCCGCTTTAAGGTCTACTACTGGTGCCAAGGCGTCACTTAAAATCTCCTTGAGGTTTTCCCCATTTTGTTCCAGAATACCTTGAAATCTCAGGATAAATGATGATTTTTCCATTTGTAGTTTTAACAGCTGTTGTTTATGAAAGGCTTTCTCTTTTTCCACTGCCTCCAGTCTCTGTTTCGATGCTTTTGTCTTAGCATTGACTTTTCGCACTGACTTTGCTGTATTCTCTGTTTTTATATTGACTTCTTTTAGCTATTTTTTGAGAGTCTCAAAGTTATTATTAAGATGAGTCATCTGGTCCAGTAGAGGGTGAAGTGCAGTGGTTAACATGCTTGGAAAGTCTATGGTTGCTTCCTGTTTGGAAGCTGATGCTGTTGAGCTGAAAGTCCCTGAAGGAGAAGACTTTCGGTGCCATTTTTTCAGTCCGATGCAGGATTGTTTACATTAAGAGAAAGTCCAAAAAAGTCTCTGTAGGTTTATTCAATCATGCTTTTTAACCAGTCAGCACTCTATTTGTGCTAAACAATGCTTTTTAATCAGCTTCCCCCCCCCCTCCACCTCTTACAGTTGCTGCTTTTTTCTCCCAGGATAAGACCAGCTCAATTCCCTCCACTTTTGAATTTAAGGGGTTGGGGGAAGCTGTCCGCTTAGATTTTTGTCTGGATTAAAAGCATACAGACTCACTCTTCATCGGCTGCTTGCTTCAGTAAGGTAGGGAGACCTTTAAAGTGCTTGATCTCCTGTTCGCCTGTCCCGGTGTGCGTTTCTGCTGCCGTTGCTGGTCTCGCAGCGGTGGGGACCAGAATCATCCAGTACCCCTCCCAGCCACTACGGTCACAGGTCGCATTCATTGGAGCTCGATGAAATGCACCCGTCAGCGACTCGCCAAAACCAGAAACTCCTTATTCCCATTTTGTAAATAGGGAGTGGGCCCATTTTGTAAATAGGGAGTGGGACTGAGAAAATGGGTTTGCCCAAGAGCCACTGAGAGGCAATATGAATGTCACTGAAAGTTTAACTCTACCAGTCCTTGTGTTCTGCAGTGTGTTACACAATGTGTGATGCTATGTAAGGACTTCCTATGTAAGGACTTCCCTTCAGTTTTACAGATAACCATGGTGGGGAGGCAGAAAGAGACCTAAATCAGTCACAGTTTGCTGGCTGTGAGCATGTGCTACAGAAAGTGCATGCTTGTCACCAAATGCCTGGTGTGGATTTCCCCCTAAACCTAACCCTAACTCTCAACAGCACAACATTTATTCTATTGTAAAAATTAACTGATAAGCAGAGGGCTAACATATTTATTTATTTATTAGGCTTATATCCCGCCTTTCCACATGGGCTCAGGGTGGCTAACAAGAGGCAATTGCCATACATAACACTAAAACCAAATAAAACAATCAGATTACATTATACATTTAAAACTGGTGCTCACAACAATATATCATCCAAGACGGGGACTCCAGTGCAATGTTTCAGAGGTACCACTGTCTCTTCTTGATCGGTCTACGCTGTCCGTTCTCCCTTCCCAAGGCCAGTTCGCATCGCCAGAGATGGCAACGTGATGGTGGTACAGTGACGGTGGCGGCTTCTACTCGAAAGCCTGGTGGAAGAGCTCCATCTTGCAGGCCCTGTAGAACTGCATAAGGTCCCGCAGGGCCCTGATCTCCTCCGGGAGCTTGTTCCACCAGATAGGAGCCACCACCGAAAAAGCTCTGGCCCTAGTCGCAGCATATTTAACATCTCTCGGGGCTGGAACGACCAGAAAATGTTTTGCCCCCGACCGTAGTGCCCTTGGGGGAACATATGGGGAAAAGCGGTCCCTTAGGTAAGCTGGACCCTGGTCATATAGCACTTTATAGGTAAGAACCAGCACTTTGAAGCGGACCCGGTACGCTATTGGCAGCCAATAGCTTTGATAAAGTCCCAGTCGAGAGATTATCTATTTCAGGATTATTTACTTACTATGTAAACAGTTTGCCCAGCTGTGGAGCAAATCAAAGGTGCAACGATATTTTCACTTTTCAAAACTATGTAATTAAAAAGAATGTTGGAGGATACCTTTAATAAATAGGCCCACCTGTTCATAATACTGGCATGGGTGGATTTTAGGATACCTTAAAATCTATTAAACCCACAAGTTTCTGCCTTGTTAACTAGTGTTTCATAAATGACATTAACTTGGTCCACATTACCTCAGTCTAGGTTGAATGGTTCAGCTGCATAAGACTTAGGGTCTTACCTTCCTATCTGTCTTATCTTCCACAATAGTCCCCCCACCTTTTTTTCTTTTTGAAAAGCAGCCTTGAAGGCTGTGATTAAAAGATGGGAAGTGGTGGTGGGAAAAGATGTGTAACCATTTTTCCTCCTGAGTTTTGTGAGCTTAAAATTGCCCCGGTTGCTTTTGTCTTATGGTATTAAAGATACTTTGATTACAACAACACATAACATGGAGAACATTAGGACACATGGCAAAGCGGTTCTGTGATTGCTTAATTTTACTCTGCTACGACTGATTACAATATTTATGGGGTGTGTCCCAGGCTTTGGATGATCCTTGACCACATGCCAATTCATTGTACTCCCCAACAAGTCACAATGGTCTAACCCTGAGGGAAACAAGCAAGCAGGTAGCTGAGCAGTGGCCTAGCTGTTCATAGCTGGCAATGCATCCCCACTGTTCGCTTCTTCATGAAAAAGCAAGTTACAGTGGCACCTAGGAGTAGCCATTACCACCACACACTCAGCTGTCTATGAAGATTGTGAGCAGCAGTGGTGGCTCCTTCCTGCCACCCTGGCTTCAGTGGTGGCAAGAGACAGCCAATTCCTCCCTCTGATCTATGGCAGAGAACTTTGCAGTTGAAAAGACTAGCATGCCAGACAAAAAGCTAAACTAGAGCCTTTGACACTGGATTAAACCAGACCAAACTGGAAATTTCCACCAATCCCCCTCATGTCTTTCTTCAGCGTTTCTTGGAACAGCATTTCTTGGAGACTAGTGGGCTGTGGGGTGGGGAAGGAAACTTCCATTCACCATTGGGAAATTTCACCTGGATCCAACCCATCTTTCCTTCATGCTAGGCATTTAATTATAGAAAACAATTTGATGATTAGCATTAATCTGCAATAGTACAGTCTAGGAGAAGAGTTAGAATTATTGGTAAGAATTACACCTGATATTTTGAGTTTTCCTTTAAAAATAAGGCTGAAAAGAATGTAATAGTTACAGGTGTACTCCCTATTTGAAAATATAGCCCTTAACTGTCTGCCCTGAATGACAGTAGCTTTCCAGAGTCTCAGACAAGGATCATGTTTCATTTACTGACATAACTCTGCAGAGGAATACACTTGGGCAGTCCTATGCCTAGAACCTGAGATCCTCAAACAGGAGATTTCCAGGAAATTACCTAGAACTTTCTGAATCCTAGGCATGTGCTCTACCACTGAGCCATAGGCATTTGCCATGCCTGGAGTGGGATTGGAAGCCACATCTCCCTTAGAAGACCAGAACACCCAAGGAATAGCAAAGCTGTACATTGAATCTAGGGCCTGAACCCACTCTGACACACCAAGGTGCAAGAAAATTCCTTAGGATACACTTTTTCCCTTTCAGACTGAGGCGTACATTTGTCCTGCCTACTTAAGTGGTAGGAAATTATTTAGGGAAATGAGTAGCAAAGTACTATGCAAGGAAACGGAGCAGCAAACAAATGCACTGCTATATTGGGAACAAAAGAACTTCCCACCCTTCTATACTCAGCATATGGAGAAAACATAACATCTTCCACTGAAACACTGAGAAGTCAAATATCCCCCGTTTAGATTTTATCGGTGTCACTAACATACAAAAAATACTACTGCTGTATTATTCACAAAATATATTAAGCACCGAACATTTTTAAGATCCTATCACTGATGCCTTTATTTGGTTAAAATGAAAACATTGCTTTTAAATAACACTCACCCAATAAACAATTCTTTCTCCACTGCTGTTTTGACTTGAGGGGGGTGGGAGAGAGAAAGGATCCTGTTTCCCAGAAGGCCTTGTGTGTGTGGGGGGGTGGAGGAGTGGAGGAGAATAGGAGTTTGCTGTTCGGTACGTGAGTAATCAAGGATGACCCCATAAGGTTCGAAAAGCTTTCTTAGCTTGTGAGTGGAAGCAGGAATTTGATTGCGTAATAACAGTTCCTCATTGCACAAGGTCATTAGTAACACAGCAACGCTGGAAGTTTCAGTTTGAAGAAAGGTAGCCAGATTCTGAAGAAAGGCATTTCTTTATTTGGAAATTTGAAACAAGCAAATGAGTTTTAAAAGTCCCCCCACCACCACCCAGCAGAAAACAGGCAGGAAACGGGGAAGTAAATTCAATTGCTTTCCAGGCTTACCTCAACCCATCTTCATATAAATGCTTCATACAAATGCTAATAGGTCTAGAAGATGGGATGGTCAAGCGCTCCACTTCTCCAAGCACAGAACAGAGATGTGGAGGAATTAAATACTAGAGAGACTTTAGGAAGGAACTTTCTGGAGACTTCAGGAAAAGCCTCTCTGACCTGGTTAGGGGGTGGGGAAAAGAGAGGTGATAAAACTCAGGGGAGCAAGGAATTTTGTATTTATTTATTTTATTTATTTATTAGATTCATATCCCGCCCTTCCACATGGGTCTCTTTGGTGTTGGGTCCATCAGAGCAGACAGAACTCTTAACGGAGGTCTAAAGGGGGCAGTCATTTAACCATATGCTGTCCTGGAAAGCTGAAGGATGGTGTCAGAAAGGCTAAAGCGCAGATGGAGCTGAGGATTGTGGGGGATGCTACAAATAACAAGAAAAATTCCTATGCCTATGTTTAAAGCAAAAAGAAGAACATGGATGGGGTAAGCTCATTGCTAGGAGAAGATGGTCAAGCCTTAACAAGGGATGAAGACAAAGTGGAATTATTCAACTCTCCCTTTGCATCGGTCTTTAACTATAAGGTGAGCTATATACAAATGGAAGAAGGCAGGGCATATGAAGGACGGGGGAACTGCTGGTCCAGAGTAAGTAAGGAAATGGTTAGAGAGCATCTAGCTGCCTTAAATACTTTCAAATCTCCAGGGCCAGATGGCTTGCGTCCCAGGGTGCTAAAAGAAACTGCAGATGTTATTTCAGAGCCTCTGGCTCTAATCTTTGATATGTCCTGGAGTACTGGTGTTGTGCTGGAAGACTGGAGAAGAGCGAATGTTGTCCCGATCTTCAAGAAGGGGGAAAAGATGGACCCGGGAAATTACAGGCCTGTCAGTTTGACATCAATACTTAGGAAAATTCTAGAGCAGATTATTAAATGCTCTATATGTGAGCACCTTGAATGGAATGAGTTAATTGGTAGTAGCCAGCATGGGTTTATCAAGAATAAGTCATGCCAGACCAAGCTTATCTCCTTTTTTGACAGAGTTACTAAAATGGTTGACTCTGGCAATGCTGTGGATATAGTGTATCTAGATTTCAGTAAAGCATTTCACAAAGTTTCTCATGATATCCTTGAGGATAAGCTGATTAAGTGTGGGCTGGATGGTGCAACCGTTAGATGGATTCGTGGTTGGTTGAAAAATCGTACCCAACGAGTGCTCGTAAATGGCTCTGCGTCTATGTGGAGGGAAGTCTCAAGTGGATTGCCTCGGGGCTCAGTCCTAGGCCCGGTGTTTTTTAATTTTTTTATAAATGACCTGGAGGAAGACATGGGGGGATGCTTATCAAATTTGCAGATGACACGAAGCTGGGTGGGATTGCTAATTCTGAAGAAGACAGAGTCAGGATTCAAAATGATCTAGATAGGCTGGAACAGTGGGCTG